TATATATTTTGTATGTATTTTTTATTTTAATTAGTTGTTTTCATTTACTTTCATTTGTTTATATGTATATGTAATATGTTGAAATTTATTGTTTTAAAAAAAAAGTTGTTATTGGTTTTTATGAAGGTACTTTGTCACGCAGAATGTTTGAATGACCAGATTTAAATTTAAATAATAAAAAGTATACATATTTATAAATATATAAAAAAATGATGATATAACAATTACAATATACATACATACTGTATATGTATGTATTGTAATGTGTGTGTGTGTGTATTTGTTTGATTTTTGTGTACATAACCAATTTTATTTGATGTTTAATCTTTAATTTTAAGGGGAATACTTATTGTGATAATAAAAAATAACTACTCAGAATTAAATACAATTTAAAAATTTAAAAAAACATTTAAATTTTAAATTTATTATTTGACTCACATCATTTTGAATTGAAAGGTTCTGAAAATATATTAATTTGGTTGAGGTGTTTTAGTCGAAGGACCAAATCACTACATGAGATCAATTTTTTAAATTCAAAAAATAAAGGGCAAGATATGAAATCCACAGACTTCATTTGTATATATGCTAAAATTACTGGAAACCCGTTTTTGACTTTCAATTATATGATCATCATCAAACTCGACATAACATTAAGGTGACACATTCTCATTATTAGTTTAATATTTTTCAAATGTTTGGAATCAATCAAAATGAAAGATAGCCTGGAAATATAAAAAATATATATTTCAATACATTAACAATATCTGAAATCAATCGGAACCTTTATATGGGGCCTATGGAGCCACATAGCAAATTGGCTACCAGTACATACACTAAGGTTGCCAAATTCAATAGAACCTTTAACACATGCCCCTTTATTGAATATATCGCTCGGAAATGTGGCTAAAACCCATAAAACACAATAAACCAAATGGAATGAAATAAAAAACGAAAACCTTAAGACGATTTTTTTCTATCCCCATACTGACCTCAAAAATCGATAAATCGCAAGCACTATAAATTTGCTTTAATAACAATTCTCCCGTACCATCGCATTGTCTTCTCTTATGCACATTTTCTGATAAAATTCCATCATTAAGGTGGAGTGTATATGAAAATTGTTTTCGAAACATCGAAATATTCACCGGAGACCCTATAAAGTATATATATATTCTTGATTAGAATAACATTTTGTTAAGATCGATGTTTGGTATTGAAAATGGGATATATCGGTCTACGTTTTGGTAAAGCTAACAAATAACGGTACCTTCAAATATTCAATATTTTGGGGATATCAAACCTTCCTATAGAAAATGATCAATATTGGCCCATACTCTAGGGTAGTCGTCATATATTATTGGTATTGTATGGAGTTTAGGAACGCTTTTACCCGAATTTGCTGTAATTCGGTACTTTGAATACACATTAGATAGAAAATCTCCCTGTTTTAAATGATCAATATCGGTCATAATTTATGGGTAGACCACCTAAACCCTATATACCCCATTTCGGTATTTTGGGGGGATGGAGTGGGCACGTGTTTCAACCAAAATGTCTGTAATTGTATTTTATGGATTATCAATGAGTAGAAAATATCCCTACCCAAAAATATTGTAAATATTAGCGAAAGTTTCCGGGTAGTCCCCATTAAATTGGATATACGGTATTTTGGTAGGATGCGGCCGTTTTTCAACCCAATTGACTTTAATATGATTTTTAAGGTTCTCACGGGTTTTCAAATCTTTCTACCAAAAATTATCAATATCGGTTTATGTGCTGGTATAGCTCTCATATAACGCTCCCATCTATGTTTCGGCATTTTGAAGGCTTTAGCCCATTTTCCCACCGATATGGCTGTAAATTGGCATAAAGGGTTCTTGAATACACTGGTAGCCAAAACTAAAGCAACTGAAATTGAAAACAGATTAAATGACCTGTAACTTTTTTTTAAAATAAAGTTATAGTAAAAGTTAAAAAAAAATAATTTAATCACTTTTACGAAAAATATATTTTTAAAAAAAATTTTTTTTAATAAAAAAATTTCTATGGAAAACTAAATTGTCCCAATTTTTGCCTGGTCAAAAATACAGTAACTTTTTTAATAAATAAGCAAATTTTGCCAGTAATCGACAGCATAACCCTTATTTTTTATTACGCCAGCATACCTACTCAATTTGATCCTTGGATACACTACTGCTCGCATCCTGAACCAACGGGAAGAGGTTATGTTTGTATATTTGTTAATCTCTTTAGATTTTGCTATCTATGATAATACAAAGATTTTTCTATAGGATGAAGATCTAATGCTAGTGATGATCATTATTAGATCCTGATTTTTGACTCCCGCTAACAATCTTTGACATATATCGATGTATTTTTGAGGTTATTATCAGGCTGAGACACCCAGTCAAGCGGTATATTTTCTTTAGCGAAGGCAATCATAGCGTTTTCCAACACATTTGTATAGACAATCCATTACATTATAAATCTCGTAAATATATCGAACTTCATAAAAATAAAACCATCCCCATACCATTATTGACCCTCCTCCATGCTTCCCAGTACCGATTTTCGTTTATGGACTTTCTCAGGGTAATTTTCTTTTATTATTGAAGAAGTTATGCGGCATTTATTAAACTTGCAATTTTAATTGCTTTAGAGTTTTGTTTTTATGCCTTTTTAGGGCGAAGGATCATTCATGTAAATGTTTTTTTTTATTAATTTCTCTTTCGAGATGAGCTACATGATCGGAGTTGCAATGAAAAGGAAAGCCAGAGAGATACTTCATTCCCACCACTATGCGACGCGGTTCGCCGTTCGTTAAGCGGCTCATCAGGCATATTGGGCAATGTGGCTTACAAATGTCTTTACTTGATAAGTTGTATTTATGTCGACTGCTGTTGCGAAATTGCATCTACGAATTAAATTCAACCGTGTCAAGGTTCGGACATTTGGCATCAAACCAGAACATTCCTTTTCAGAGCAGATTTTTCTTGTAGTGACGGACTTTTTTTTCATAAAATATTGTAGTCTGATTTTTTTCTTCAATAGTATGCAACTGCATATTGTTCAACCTTAGGAAGATAAAGAGGTGGCTTTGAACACTAAGGCGCCGGACATCAACAGCTGTCATGGGAACCAGGGTTCAAATCCCAGCCGGGCTCAAGCTGATTTTTTTTGAGTTTTGTTTTTATGCCTTTTTAGGGCGAAGGATCATTCATGTAAATGTTTTTTTATTAATTTCTCTTTCAAGATGAGCTACATGATCGGAGTTGCAATGAAAAGGAAAGCCAGAGAGATACTACATTCCCACCACTATGCGACGAGTTTCACCGTTGGTTAAGCGGCTCATCAGGCATATTGGGCAATGTGGCTTACAAATATATTTACTTGATAAGTTGTGTTTATGTCGACTATTGTTGCGAAATTGCATCTACGAATTAAATTCAACCGTGTCCAGGTTCGGACATTTGGCATCACACCAGAACATTCCTTTTCAGAGCAGACCATATAATTTATGGAAGTTACGTATTTATAGAACAAATTGTTCAAAAACGGACTCGGAGGCGAAATTTTAAAGTCAAATTGGGAATACTACTTCGAAACATTTTTTTTTGTTTCATTTTTGCATAAGATTGGAGAATAAGTGTTTTTTCTTTAATTTTGTATTGAACTCTTGTCTGTCTACAGAAAATCTTAGGGACTTAACGGAACAATAAGCATGTTTTAACAATAATTGTCTTATTCTTTTTAAATAAAATTGAACATTTTCTTTTGCAATTGGTCCTTCGACTTAACACTTTGGGAAGATATCTTAATTACAATTCAAATTAACCATATATAGATTATTATATAAAAACAACCATATAGTTTAAAGAATGTGGGTTTTTATAAAAAATTAACTTTGATACATCTAATTTTCTTTAAATGATTTGATCCTTCGATCTTCAAATATTCTTTAAAATCCATCAACACTAACAAATATTCCCCTTTTATCACTTTTATTTTTAAATTTTGTTGTAAACCCCATAAGAGGGTTAAGTGTGTCCAAAAAAAAAACAAAATGTGTTCTTAAAGAAATGTTTATGTCAACTCTTCTATTGTTTATTACAAGTGCAATTTATATTTGGGTTGTTGTTATTGTATTTTTCTTTGTTGAATTAAAAATCTAAAAATGTATTCTCTTTACTTGTTTTTGTTGTTGTTGGTTTCCTTTTAAAGTACATTATGTTAATTTCATTATTTGCAATAATATTTTGTTTTCATCTTTTTTGTTGTTGTTCTTGTTTCATTTTGTTTTAAAATCTAACGACTAACTATCACACTCCAATGTTTGTTTTGTATTTAATTGTTTTTTTAAAAATTTGTTTTAATATTTAATATTTTGTTGTTGTTTTTCATTAAATGGTTTTTTGTGTTATCTTAAAATATTGCCTTTGCCCATGATTTAAATTTTTTTGTTGATTTTTTTTACTTTTACTTTTAACTGATTTGTTTGTTAGCTTTGTTTCATTAAAAATGTGTTTGTTGTTGTTTTTCTTGTTCTTTTTGTTTAACATACTTAATTCTACAAATATATCTACAATTAAGTTTACGATATGAATAACAAAAATGAAAAAAAAATACAACGAAATAATAATAATAATATTTTGCTTTATATTTATAATAAAAATAATAATAAAAAAACCATTATGAATGAATAAAAACTATATAAAAGAATAAAAACAATGAAAATAATAATTATATTATTTTTTATAATAATAATAATAAGAATCAAATGCCTCTCGCTCTATTGCTATTTCTATCTCTTGTCCTTCTTTAAGTTACATTCTTCTATTCGAGACCCGATTTTTTCAACAGAAAACAAAACAAAAAAATAATTACGCTATGCTTTTTTCCACACAGACAGAGGGTCCAAATACCCTCTCTTTTCTTTCACTACACCAAGAATGTCTTGACATTCTTTCTCCCACGGCTCCATTCCAATCGCTTTCTAATCTTTCCCGCCCGATGTCAAGACACCCTTATGCATTGGTTGCTATTGATGACTCTTGCTCAGCAGATGAGCATTGAATTCGTACACATTGTTCAGCTGTTCCCCGCAAATGTTACACTTCCAGGGATTACTTTCACAGTGGCAACCCTTGTGCAGGAAGTACAGCGTCTCGTCGGGAAATTCAATGCCACAGAAGAGGCAAGTGAGTATTTGTTTGCGATTCAGACCAGCCGAATCGTTTTCGGGCCCGGTCGATGTTATGGTGCCATTGCAAATCGGCGTAGTGGACGAAGTGGCAGTTCCACAGGTCGGTGTCAAACTGCTTTGTATCACATTATTGTTTTCCATGGAGGCAGCATTGCGGGTAATACGATTATTGGCCTTGGCACAAATGCGGCGTTTCAGATCTTCCCGCAGCAATGATTTCAGGGGTGAAACCTGGAGAAAACAACAACAACAACAAAAATGAGTAAGAAGTTCGTTGTTGTAATTTCATTTCCATACTTACCTTAATCAGTGATGTTAGTCTCGTATTGGGTGCAGAGAATTCCGATTCACTGCTGTCACCACCATTCATGGTCTCACCGCCATTGAGGGAATTTTTCGCAGTATCCTCGCTGGGTGGTTCCTAATAAAAATCAGATATGAATTAGTTCACTTTGTCAATGAAAAACTTCCTCTCTTCCTCCTTCACTTAAATTCTATGACCCCAAATACATTCAGTAAAAATCTTAATTCAGCCAAATTATCACAAAAAAAACATTAAAAAGCACAGCTGAATAGGGATTTCCGTTGAGAAACACAAGCTGAATAACGTTTTCCATAGGAAAACTTCAATTTAGCCTGGTTGAATAGCGTTTTCTATAGGAAAACTTCAATTCAGTCAGGCTGAATTAAGATTTCTATAGGAAAACTTCAATTCAGCCGGGCTGAATTAAGATTTCTATAGGAAAACTTCAATTCAGCCAGGCTGAATTAAGATTTCTATAGGAAAACTTCAATTCAGCCAGGCTGAATTAAGGTTTCTATAGGAAAACATCAATTCAGCCAGGCTGAATTAAGGTTTCTATAGGAAAACTTCAATTCAGCCAGGCTGGATTAAGGTTTCCATAGGAAAACTTCAATTCAGCCAGGCTGGATTAAGGTTTCTATAGGAAAACTTCAATTCAGCCAGGCTGAATTAAGGTTTCTATAGGAAAACTTCAATTCAGCCAGGCTGAATTAAGGTTTCTATAGGAAAACTTCAATTCAGCCAGGCTGAATTAAGTTTTCTATAGGAAAACTTCAATTCAGCCAGGCTGAATTACGGTTTCTATAGGAAAACTTCAATTCAGCCAGGCTGAATTACGGTTTCTATAGGAAAACTTCAATTCAGCCAGGGTGAATTAAGGTTTCTATAGGAAAACTTCAATTCAGCCAGGCTGAATTAAGGTTTCTATAGGAAAACTTCAATTCAGCCAGGTTGAATTAAGGTTTCTATAGGAAAACTTCAATTCAGTCAATATAAAATTGATTATCAAACTTAGCTGAATTGATTTTGTTAAAAAAATATCTTCAAAATCGGACGGACTAGTAGAGAACCTTTGGCTTCCCATTTGTATTCTGAGAAAAAAACATTCCAAACACATTTTTTTAAATAACCTACCCTCCACATCCGGAGCATGTCCATAATATATTTTTTCGGAAAAATATAAATTAGGTTCTAATACAAAAACAACAACAACGATTTGTACTTTTTTGCTACCCACCATCTAGAAACTTACACTGACCTGCTTTATGGGTATGAGACTAATCGACGGTGTTATGTGATTATCATGATGATTTTTCGGTGATACGGAAGTCAAGGCACCACACAGGGCTCCGCCAGAACCAGGTCCCATACCGCCGCCGCTGCTGCTGGCACTGCTACTGGTACTCGAAGGCAACGATTTGGCATTACAATCTAATGGATGTTCTTGTGGTGGCATATTTATGGTCAACGGCACCGGCGACTCCATAATGGTGTCACGATCCATCGGCCCCATAACATCTCCTGTGGTACTGCCTGCCGATGATGTGGTCGTATTGTTGTTGTTGCCACTGCTGCAAATGTTACTACTGCCGCTGCTGCTGTTGGGGGTGTTGCTGGGATTGCTGTTGTTGTTGGCTGTGGTGTTGTTGGTGCTGCTGTGACCCTGCAAATCAAATGCACGCAAAACGCATAAGAGGACATTCTCAACGGACGAACGAGTATAGAATGAAGTAGAGGAAGTCAATGAGTTTACTACAGACATAAGAGAATCATTAGAATTGGAACATTGCTTTACATTGAACATTGCGTTATCCGAGAGGCCATTGTCGGGTAGTGTTGAGATCTCCACATGGGGCGTTAGGAAATGCATTGGCGGTGTTGCATTCTCCAGGGAGCGTAGCGATTCGCCGCTGTCGCTCTGGTGGCTGGGCATACTGTTGGCGGCCGAGACAATGGCCGCATTCGAATTGACAGCAGCATTGGCAGCAGCTGCAGCCGCTGCTGCAACGGCATTCAGACCAGTCGGCACATAACCGGCTGCAGCAGCGGCAGCAGCCACCTGTGATGCCTGTGACTCCAGAGCGAGTAACAGCGACGATGAACCGCCCGGTCCGGGATTGTCCAAATCAATGCCGTGTCTGAAAAAGGGAATGAAAATGAAAAAAAATAGAATTATTTAGGGCGCTTAAAGAGAGAGAAAGTGGGTAGGAGGTTTGGCCACTGACCTGTTGAAAAAATGTATTCTCAGTGATTTCATGGAACCAGCCCGGTAACTGCACAACGGACATGTCTTGACAAGATCATGCTGGCCCACATGCTCATTTTGGAAATGGGCCCGCATGGCAATTTGACGCTGGAAACCTCGATTGCATATCGGGCAATGATACGGCAGCGTTTTTGTGTGTGTGGTAAAATGTTCCGCCAAGTGATCTTTGCGAAAGAATCTGAAAAAAAACAACAAAAAATTAAAAAATTACAACATCCGAAACCAAAATAAAAAACCTGCTGCCTACCTCTTTTGGCACACTCGACACTCATAAGGCTTGACACCGGTGTGTCGCATTTTATGACGTCTCATATTTGCACCATTCGAAAATTTCAGCAATGGCGCTGATCACACCCCCACCGCTGACGGGTGTCACCGAACCACCCGAACGATGATCGGGACTCGTTGCCGGATTATCCGCACCACCACCACCTCCGATATCGACATCTTCATTTTTAAGGCGTGCTGCGGCCGCAGCTGAATTCGACAGACATTGGACTACATGCAAGAGCAATGTGGCTCGGGAGCTGGTCTCGAAATTGTCACAGCGTTCGCAGCGGAATGTTGTAGGATTATTGGAGGCATTTGAATTGTTGTTGTGGTTCGTTGAGAGATTTGTTGGCGATATACTGACATTGGCTGTTACTGGTGTCGAGATGGGTTTCTCGCCACCATTGTCCGACGACGACGATGATTGATCTTCGGAGCTGTGATGCAACTGAAGCGCCTGCTGTTGCTGCTGCTGGTGATGATGGTGTTCCTTAAGGCTACGCAAGGCATGAGCGTGTGAGGCTAATGTATTGTGATGCAAGAGTGATGCTGTCGTTGACATATCAACAATGAGTCCATTATCTTTGAGCGATAGCTCCATTTGACCGGCAGAACTCATTGTGTCGGTCATTTTGCTAGAAAGAGAAGAATATGGAGAAGGTGGAAGATTAGTTGCAGGGTCAAAGAGATTAAAATTGTGAAAAAGATAAATAAACGATTAACAATAAACGGCTCTCTGGCCTGGAGATTTTCGAAGATCGAAAAATAATCTATGACCTGATGGAAGGTTATTCAGAACCTAAAGGATTTTTCAATAAAAAGACCACAGGTCGTAATGTCGATATAAAAAATCTCAGGTCCTGAGTTTAATTTTTTCTTCAGAAAACAATCCTCGTTATGGCCTGAGGATTGTTTTTCCCATAGAGAAAATTCTGAGGTCCTTAGGATAGATTTTTTCTCTAAAAACAATATTTTTTTCTGTGGAAAATAATTCTCATTTTCTGAGGATCCATTGTTTTCTGTAGAAAATAATCTGCAGAAACTGAGGATAATTTTTTT